TTTATCTTCAAAATTATAATACCTATCACTAGGGTGACCACATAATTTATTTTCCAAACTTTGACAGTTTTATGAATGAAAGAGGATACCAAAATAATTAAAATTACATTGTTTTTTGGAAATATTTACATATTGATGACAAATTGGTTTTTATATTAAAGCCTCTATAAAATAATTATATTCAAAAACTACTTTCCAAAATAAAATTATTCTTAAAAAATTAAAATAACTTATATGTATACATTGAAGCAATGTAGAAAAAACTCCTGAGATGATGATTATTTGTTTTTTTAGCGGCTGGCCTGTATGGGGATCTGAACTCGTGACGTTGGTTATAAGGCTGCAGTTGAACCAACTGAGCTAACCAGACAGCCCTGACAAAAACTCCTTCATATGGATTACCTTGATGTTAAAAACAAACTTAGGCAGAGTAATTGTTCCTAGTACTTACTGAAGTTTTTAAATTAGTTTTTTAGCTGAGTCTGTCACTAATAGAATGCCACTGGTATTTTTCTGAAGAATTTCCTTTTTAAAAATAGTTTCCATATTTTTGAAGTTGTTGAACAAAACTTTGCAATTACCTTCAAAATAAATTTTATGGCTAATAAATTTGAAATTGCTGACACCGTTAAATGATTCTTCTCTGTAGATACAATATTTTTAATTGATAATATACTCTTTTTCCAGGTATTAAGAGATTTAGTAAGCCAAGTNGTAAATTCTGCTAAATGGGTGATATCGTCAATTCTCATTTTTTATGTAAATATTTTGTCCCAAGTATTGATACAGGTACAATCTTTCTGCTTCCATTCAGAGTAGTTTTCTTTAACACACATTTTTATAAAACATAACTTATCAAGTAAGTAATCTATGTTTATGAATCTTTTGAATGTTTCTCTATTGCACACGTATTTCACATCCTGATGAATGAGTCCTTGGCAGAAGCTGGAATGAGAAGTGGAGTTCATACTGGCTTATTTTACTGCAACTATTAATAATAATATCTAGTTAACAAATGAAAAGTCCAAGACAAATGCTAAACTGGTTGGACCCAGGACAATAGGCATAAACAGGGCCTCTCCCCCCTCGGGGTAGCTCAGTGGTTTTCAATCCTGGCAGCATATTGAAACCACCAGAGAGCTCTTAAGACATGCCAGTGTTCAGGCTCCATGCCCAGAGGCTCAGATTTCACTGGTATTGGGATGGGGCCTAGGAACCAGCATCTCAGTCTCCCAAGTGATTCTCCGGTGCAGCCTAATGCACCACTTTTAAGCAAGATCGACTTGGTTCTCCAGGACCAGCTGCTTCTAAAGCAATATGATGCAAGTACTTAGTGATTCAGATAATAGGGAGAGGAGGCAAACCAGGAGAAGCTATGCCACTGCCACATTTTTTCTGCACCCCACAGGTGTGTTATCACCCTGGGCCAGTAGTGAGCACACAGCAGGTGCTCTGGGAAACGAGAAGAGCAGAGGGTGGCCCTGCCACAAATGCTGTGAACACCACACAGGACATAGTCAGAAAGACTGCATGTAATCCTTTTAAACATTTAATTAGGCAACTCATATTGCCATGACAAAAATTAAACCTGTTGAGGGTTACAGAGTTCTAACAAGAAATAAAAATAAAACATCTCACAAAAGCTCTATTTAAGCTTGTCACAAGTGCTGCACTGTATTCTGAGCATTTATTTTGAAAACAATTGTCAAAATGTAAAATCCTCAGCACCCTCAAAATGATGTATTATTTTGGCTCATTCTACAAATTTACATCTCACAAAAGCTCTATTTAAGCTTGTCACAAGTGCTGCACTGTATTCTGAGCATTTATTTTGAAAACAATTGTTAAAATGTAAAATCCTCAGCACCCTCAAAATGATGTATTATTTTGGCTCATTCTACAAATTTATGATGATCTTTCCAACTCGAACTTCTGAAGTATGAGAAGCCATGACGGCAAAGGATAGTAGCAACACGTCTGTTTCCCGAACCCTACCCAAGCCTTGTTGCACTGTGGGTGCCCCACAAAGCCCTGGGGTTGTCCAGAGATCCCGTCAGGAAAGCAGCTCTTGCTGATGCTTTGCCTGCTCTCAATTCAATTCCGAGGCTGTGAGTTGAACTCGGTACAAATGTTCTGGATGATCTTGGGGACAGATGTGTAGAGGTTGTCAAACTCGTCCACAAAGAAGGAGTGGTCCCTGGCAGGGTGAGTGGCAATGACTTCCAGCTCGTCCTGTGCAGCCCAGGCAACACCTATTGCATAGGTGATCACTCCTGTGGGGACAGGCACTGGATGAAGCAAACGTCCCCGAGAAAAGGTTCCGCTAACGAATCCTAGCTTCCTGTTGTTCTGTTGGCACAACCAAATCCCAAACCAGAAATGTGTCCCCAAAACCCCAAAGAACACTATAGGCCCCTTGGTTTCCAAAATTAAGACTAAGTATAGCCATTCGCTCACTCATTCATGCATTTAATATATACTTCTGAATACCTATTATAGGTCTTTGGTAACAAAATTAATATAGTTGCTATCTCAGGAGTTTATAATAGTCTTTTGGGGGAAAAACAGACAAAATGGAGTAAATGCTTGTATATAGTAAAAATTTATGTCCAGAAGCAGCAGTGGGGGAGATATTTTGGGAAAAGTGAAACTTTTGGTGCCATGCAGATCACACCACATGGAACATGCCTGCTGTACCCATGTGGAGAGAGCCAAACAAAATCTCAGACAATCTTAAATGCATCAAAAGCCAATTAAAGATCATTTTAACTAAAACCTGGACCTAAACCACTTTCAGCGTGAAGGTGACATTACAAGCCAAAAAATCCAATCTCATCCCCAGTGCAGAAACCCTTGCCCGTGGTCCCGGAGAGATAGTCACCAGCATCTGTTCCATCACCACCAGGAAGAAAGGGGTTTGAGATAAGGAAGGTGGTGGCCAACAGTGTTGAATGCTGCAGGGAGCTTGTGTAAGATGGAAACAAAAAAGTGCTCATTGGATTTAGAAAAAACAAAAACAAAACAAAGACACTAGTAGCTTGGTGAGACCAGTTTCAGGGGAGGAGATGCCAAAGAAACCAAACGAACTGCTGTGAGTTGAAAGTGGAAAAGAAGTGAGGACGTGGCAACAGCACATGTAGGTAATCCTCTCCAGAAGTTTGGCTGTGGGGACTGCAGCAGAACAAGGGGTCAAAGCGAGTTCTGTATTTTCAGGAAGGGAGGGACTTGAGCATGTCTAGATGCAAAAGGGAAATAGCATAGTGGGACTGAAGGTGCTGGATTGCAATGGGGAGCAAGATGCCTTGGGAGAAGAGGGCAGGATTCAAAGACTAGGCATTCATTCTTAGTGGCAAAACTGGGGGACGGCCTGCTGTGATACTTTTTGATTTGGTTGGGGGGCAGCTGGTGCTTGATCTTATGCCGCAAAAGCCTGTTCTCAAACCACCTTCAGGCTGGCTGGAGGGGTTGAGCCAGATGGCCGTGAAACAGGGCAGGACCTGGGTGTGGCCTTCCTGCCCAGGTACCTGACCCCAATCCCCCACAGGGGCCCATCTCATTGTCTCCAGTGTCTTCTGGTTGCCATTCCATGCCTCACATGGCTCTGGTCCAAGCTGCTTTTCAGTTGTGGTCCTTTAAGCTGCATTTAAGCAGCTAGTCCCTTTTCTCACCTCTCCAGTTTATTTTCTCTGAATATCATCTAGATTGGGAGAAGCCAGCTTTGGGCTTTTAAGTGCTGCCAAGTGCAATTAAGAGCAGCATTGCCGCAGAGCTGGGCTTAGACTGACTAAGCCCTCTTTTCTGCTCAAAGACGGAAAGGCTGCCCCCTACTAAAAACTATACAAACAGTATTAGAAATTTAACTTTTCAAATCCTTGAGTTCAACCTTGTTGTAGAGAACCACCCACTGGCAATCTTGACAGATAGACCCCCACCCTTGACTTGGACACTCCCAGGGACATAATGCTCACTACATTTTCAGACGAATCTTAGTGTAAGGCTGAGAAGGAACCTGACTCAATGTAATCTGCGTCTATTGTACCGGTCCTAGTTCTTTAAAGTTCCCCAGACGTGATACCCTGATAGCTCCCAGGGCATTTCCCTCAGTCGTCACATTTCCTGATGAGTTGGCCAAGGATACCCTCTGTGTGAGGCCTCAAGGAGGGACATTTAGAAAAATAAGTGATGGTGGAGCTGAGCATGAGCTGTGGACAGATGTTTGGAGGAAGCAGAAGAGTCCTGGGCTTGTAGTCAAGAGCTGCCCATCCAGCTCTGCCCACTCACTTTGGGACTTTGGGCAGGTTGCTCCTGACCTTAAACCACCTTCATTCTGCTGACATGAGCCCAAGGGACCTTGTGATTGCTGGCATGCAGGCCATCAATCATCTGCCATTATGAGTGACCCATGAAGAAATCACTGGGAAGACTCTCCCTGAACTGGTCTCAATGAGCCCAAGGGACCTTGTGATTGCTGGCATGCAGGCCATCAACCATCTGCCATTATGAGTGACCCATGAAGAAATCACTGGGAAGACTCTCCCTGAACTGGTCTCCAGAAGCCAGCACTGCTGATTCATTAAGGCTTCGTTCAGGAAGGATTAAAGCAGCTTTCGAGAATACAGAAAATCCTGCAAAATAACCAGGTGAAATGTAGGCACAAAAGAGGAAAACAACCATGGCCCTGAGTGAGCTCTGTACACTAGCACTTATCCACAGGACTTTGGTGTTCACTGATCACTTGGTTTACTTTTAACATTATTACTATTAATATCACTTGGGGTTTTCTCCAGGTGGTTTATATTCTGATGATATTCCATTGAACTTTTCAGAACAGTGATTTTATATAGGTTCTTCAATAAAGGCATGAATGTGACTGGTTTTTATCATTTACAAAAATATTTTGCTTGTTTTTCATATTTTTCAACTCTCTGTTGCCCTGAGAAATTTTTATACGGAAATATCTCTTTAAATATTTTGAATCAAAATTTTGTTGAGGTCTCTCCCAAACTCCCCAACATCTGGTTAACAGTTGTAAACAAAAATAGTACTTATTTTTTAAAATGTTCTTTTTCTTTAAAAGGTGCTAACACAATCTGGCATCTTCAATAAGAGATAGAGACAGTGATGTCTTTAGTAGAGATAAAATAATGAATCAAATTCTCTTTTACTGTGTTATACCCTTGTGGGAAATGTCTTGGGGGCGTAGGATGTAAAGAAAGTGTTAATGTTCCAGTCATCCACAGGCCTGGGATTTGCAATGACACTTTGGAAACTGCCACGCTGTCCACTCCTTGTTCCTTCTTTGCTACTCAGAGGGGCCTGCAGTGTATACACCCCTAATTCCCTACCCATGGTTTTGAACATCATATTAAATCCAAAACATAAAAAACAGTGGACAAAACCAATGTGTAAAAAAACCAGTCCCTTGCTTGTCCCACTGGCTCCTCATGCCCCAGAGAGATGCCTCCACCCCCAGGTTGACTGGCAAGACCAGCTTACCCTTCCGATGAGCAGCCATGGCTGGTATCCGGATGTCATCGTAGGACCTGCCATCAGTAATGAGGATCATCAACTTCCTCTTGTTGGGCTTGGACTTCTCGAAGAGCTGTTCCAGGGCGTAGTTAATGGCGGCCCCCGTGCTGGTGCCACCGCTCCAGTATCCCACCCTCTTGATGGCATTGAGGATGTCAGACTTGGTGCTGTACCTGTCGAACCCAAACTCCAGCCGCTGTTCATAGGTGTACTGCACGGCGCCGATGCGCGTGTCTGTGTCTGAAATCTCAAACTCTTTGCTGAGGTTGGCCACAAACTGGAGGACAGTGCGGAAGTTGCCTGTCCCCACGCTGCTGGAGCCGTCGATGACAAAGCCAATGTCGGCTGAGTTGAAGCAGGTCTTGCTGCAGGCCAGGCGGTTGGTGTCGCAGACCCGCTTCACCAAGGGCTGCACGCTCTTGTGGAGGACAAACCAGCTCTGCACGCTGAGCGAGTAGAAGCCATTTGTTCTGCACACAGCCTGGGAGACAGAGGAGAGGGACACTCTCCAGGTCAGGGGTCAGCTCCTCCTGGCTGTCACCCCTGCCCTGATCACATGGGCAGGTGAAGAGGCAAACAGACTCTTGTTTTCTGCACATGTCCTCCTAATGTACTTTCTCCACCTCAGTTCGCCCAGCCAGGCACCCCCTGAGGCACCGGCCTCTCAGTCACCTCTGGACTCACTCCTCCTCCCTCAGCTGGGTCTCTGCTTCAGTGGAAAGCTGGCTGGCGAGCAAATTCATAGGGGAATGTAAATCACTGATTTCGGCTGCATATTTATGCTTTTCCGGGCCCCTCAATTCATTTGTACTGGCAGCCAGCCATAAGATTGGCATTGGTGGGCACCAACGCATGAAAAGATTAAAGGACGCTTTTCCGTGTTTCAATTAGGAAAACAGAAGACATACTCAAGAAATGACTAAAGAAACATTTCCAGAGCAGCCCCACACCCAGCGGGAAGGGGTCTCACAAAGGCTGAATGGCCACATGCGTCAGGGGTTGCACTAGATGCCCATGGAGAGATTCTCTCATTAAATTCCCACCCTAACCCTATGAGGTAGGATTATAACCCTGTGCCATGAAGAGACAAACTGAGGGCCAGCTGTGAAGGGACATCCCTGAGTCCCTGAGACTGGAATACAAATCCATCCACCTTCAAAACCCAAGCTCTGCCCTCCAGGCAACACTGCCTCAAGGCAAATGAATATTCATTTACTTGTACCTAAGCTTGTTCCAGAAAAAATTTAAGGCAGCTGCAAATAAACATTGAGCAAACTGATTGATGTGCTCTTGGAAGTGACTGGGCTAGCCTAGGTGGGGGGGCATTTTTCCCTTGCCCCTGCCTCTTGGGGCGAGGGGTCATGGAGATAGTCAGACCTGAGGACTACAGATGAACTTCTATAATTAAAAAATGACTTTAAAAGAAGAGATGGCTTAAGAATTCCCTAGGAAATATATATATTTATAAAAACTTAAATGGGGGTCACAACATTTTCCACAGACTCAGTGGCATTTGAGATGAGTGCTGAGACCCAGCTGAGTTCTGGCCAGTGGATGGAGAGGAGAGATCCCCACAGGCAGCCCCGTGAAGCGTGGCAGGAGAGAGCTGTGCTGCTGGGCATGGACGGGAGACCAGTTGGCTGGAGCCTGTGTGGGGGGTCACAGTGGATGGGCTGGAAGGTGGGTTGAGACTACACCCCAGAAGGTCTCAAGAGCAACGGGAAACAATGAAGGATTTGGAGCACTGGCTGGAGCCTGTGTGGGGGGTCACAGTGGATGGGCTGGAAGGCGGGTTGAGACTACACCCCAGAAGGTCTCAAGAGCAACGGGAAACAATGAAGGATTTGGAGCAAGGACCCCATAGGACTGGAGGAACCCTTTATAAACATGAGTTGGCTTTCATTGTGAAATCTAAACTGGGGAGACTCAGGAGGGAGACAGACCAGGTGTAGAGTACCAGCTTGACTGGGAAGGTGGCGTTGGGCATGGCAAAGAGCAGAGAGATGAGAGATACACGATGTGGGAGCTGACCAGGAACTCTGGAATGACACTGCACTCTGGGATGGCTGTGGAGCCATTAATGTAAAGTGCAGAGAAGGAAACAATTTAGGTAAGAAAGACGATGAATTAGGCTGTGACATGTAGTATTTAAGGTTCTGACAGGACAACAGGTGGAGAAACATCAGTCAGCTGGAAACAGATGGCTAAGGAGCTTGGGAGATGAAAGCTGCAGCTGAGGCCCTGGGGGAGACGCTGCAGGGAGAAGCCTCCTGAGAGAAGAGGAGCCGGCTAGGGGCAGAGTCACGGGGAAGTCTACATATAGGGTACAAGATGGAAAAAGCGGGGAGCCAGTGAAATAAGATGTCAAGGGAGAAGAGAAGTTCAAGGAGCATGACGAGGTGGTCAGCAGTCTGACATGGAGCAGGAGGTTGAGCTCTATTAGCTCTGGACACACGGAATACTAAAGCTGGCAGGGCATCAAAGACAAACGTGTCCAAGGCCTGCTTGCTTGCTCGCTCTTTTAAAGCTGGAGTCTTTTCTTTGGAGGAAGGTTTATGTGGAATCTCACTGTACAAAACATAAAAAAGCTGAGTGGCTTTGGTGGAATGGATGTGGGGGGCCTAGATCCCCATCTGCTCTGCTGCCATCTCCTGCCAGGCATCTCCACACAACCCAGGAGAGGCATTTGAAAACATGATCTCACTGATCCAAGTCTTGTTTATCAGGTTAATTTGCAATGCGTGCATATGAGAGAGAGAGAGAGAGTGTGTGTGTGTGTGTGATAAGACAGTGTACACACAGGTGTGTGTGCTCACATGCATGTGTGAAGTCTCGCTGGGCTGCCTGGCTGAGGTCCCCTGGGGCTGTGGAAAGAGCAAGAGAGAACCTCCAGGTGAGACCTCGGGGACACCACTCCTCCCCTCTCTTCCCAAGCTGCTGGCCTGGAGGTAGGTGTGGGGTTTGCTTTGACAGGATAATTCCAGGTTCCAGGCTTACTAGTTCTTTACTGGAGGCCCTACCACCTAGAAGCGAGCTTCACACACCTTTAAAGGAATGAGAAAACAACCGCGGGGGCATTACAGCGATTCAGCGTGCAGGGAATCCTTATGTCACGTGGGTCTATGGGCAGCTCTGTACCTTGTTTGCAAAGTTGGGCTCCATCACGTACTGCTTCTCGTTTTCAACTGCACCTTCTACGGTGATGAAGAAAATGTTGATTCCTGACTCTCTTGCAAGTCTCGAAGCCTCCTCCACTTTGTCCGTGGGCCAGCCGTCCACCAGCACCACGGCCACGTTGGGGGCGCCGCCTCTGTTTCCATTGGTTTTGGAAAAGAAGTTCTTGGTCACAAAGGAGATGGCCCGGCCTGGAAGAAAAAGAGAACTTGTGCTTGGTGTGTTCAAGCCGATTATAAATATAGGAACAGATCACAGCAGCACAAAGAGGTCCAGAAAAACAGACTCATTCCCTCCCCAGTTTGTTTGTTTCTTTTTATAAACCAGTTGAACTATTTTGAGGTGTACAATTCAGTGGCATGAAGTACATTTGCAACGTTGTGCAACCATCACACATTTTCCTCCCCAGTTTCATTTTAAGTCTTTAACATTTAATTGTCTCCTGCTTTGAAAAGAGTTTTAGGGACCAGCAAGCAGGTGAGAAAGACTTTCAGGGTAAAAAAAGGGCCTTCTGTGCCTGGGTGCTGGTCCCACCCAAAGCTCCTTAGCTGGCCCCATGTTGTTTCTGAGAGGGATAATTTCAGGAGGAGATAACCTGGAGTGACAGTGGCCTTGTCCTGGCCTCCTGCAGCCTGGGATGAGCTTGGTGCTCCAGGAGCTGCTGGCTCTGGAGGGCTGTGATCTGGGGTCAGCAGTATCTTCTCTCCAGTTCCAGGGCAAGTCACAGGTCTGGCTGGCCTGAGGAGAGCTGCACCTCTTGGGAACTGAGGGACTGTGTTCTAGCCCAGCCTGTGCCACCTACTTGCTGTGTTCCCTGGGTAGATCATTCTAGGTCTAGGTCTCTGGGCCAAGATTTCCATGACAACATCTGCCTCAGCTGAGTGCAAGAGTCATGAGGAATAAGAAAGCCTCCCGAGCCTTTCCCAAGTGCATATATCACACTGTGCTGCACCACAGGAAGGTGACAGAGCCAGCTGTAGCAGAAGCTTCCTGACCATGGTGGCTTCCTGGCTGAAGCAGGTTCTGAAGAGGCTGCGGTGGCAGAATTCAGGAAGCGATTTCCTGATCTTGGAAGAGGCAGCAGCTCCCCTGCAGGCCCTGGTTCCTCAAGAAGCCGTTAGAAGTCATCTCTGAAAGCTCAGACTACAGTCTGCTTCTCCAGCCCTTTCAATGGTTCTCAAAACTATTTAATACCTTGAAATACATCCCTTTCTGCTTGAATCAGCTGAGTGGATGCTGTTCTCTGATGCCAAACCCTGAACAATACAGAGGCAGGTTAGAACATGTTATCTATGAAAACGGTATGCTCACTGGATTAAGACATACTCAAATTTCATCAAGGAAATAGAGTGCCTTCTGGAGTTCTTCTCCGTTGGAATGTTGCTAATAAGCATTAAGTTGAAAACAAACCAGAAATCAACTCCATCATGTTTGTGATTGGGGCTGTGGAGAGCAGCAACTTGGCTAGTGCTTATTTAGGAATGTTCAAGGTGAAAGGCTCTGTATTTGCCAGAAGCTAATGTTCTGGTCACTACAGAGATGTACACTGTACATCTCATTAGCCAGATTTACTGTAACTCCAAGGATGCCCCCTCAAAGACTGTTCTGTTCCCTGCATGTGCTCCATGCCAAGCAACTGTGGCTCTTTGACAGTCTTTGAGCTTGGTTAGTATGAAACTGTTTCCTCATGTCCAATCACCTGTGGGTGAACTGATAAAAAGTAGTTTCTGGACATGCCCCACTGAGGACTGACCTTGGACTTCTGATGAACCTTCCCCCACCCCACCCCAAAGGAGACAGCTTGAAACAGAGAACATGTCTCTCTTTGCACAGTCATCACTACAACAATAGCTGATTAGACCAAGATTCTCGAGGGGTGCTGAGGACCCCACCCCAAAGGAGACAGCTTGAAACAGAGAACATGTCTCACTTTGCACAGTCATCACTACAACAATAGCTGATTAGACCAAGATTCTCGAGGGGTGCTGAGGGACTTCCTGTATGGAATTGGTTACAAAATTTAATGTTAAATAGCTGATGACTTGTAGGCCAACCAGGAAATAGTCACAACAGCAGTACTGCTCGTCCTGAAGAATGCTGCCACCCCCAGGAACTAAGCATGCTGGAGCTCTGCTGCATATGTGTATTAATGACTCTTGCCCCCTGAATTCATGATAGTATTTCAGAAAAGATACAGATGAGTCATTTCTTGATGGATTATTAATATTTTTTCCTCCTTCTATATAGCATGTTAGAAGAGAACCATTCAGAAAGAGAATGATGGTACTGAGATAGAATTTTCTGAGTGCAATCACATACCTGCATTAGAAAGCCCTCCTTTCTGGGTAATTTTCTCTACTGCTGTCTTCAGATCTTGGGAATTCATGTGAGTCTTGAGGTTAAACTGAGTAGCAGGGTTGTCTCTGAAGAGTGAGAATGAGAAATAAAAAGTAGCTGCAAAGTTATTACCTTTGGAAGAAGGTAGAAATTATGGGTGATTTCTTTATATACAAATAGAATGGAAGCTGCTTCAAAGCCTTAAGCTGTGGTTTGTAAAATGTCCCACTGTGGACATAGGTAATGGCAAAAGAGAAGGACTTGGATCTTCTGCAGTGCGTGTAGAGAAAAGCAGGCTATTTCAGGACTCAGAAGTGTGTTCTACTTTTGACGGTCTCATTTCCTGGTTGAGTGATTTTGAGCAGTTACTTCTCTGGGCTTCAGTATCCTCATCTAGATAAAAAACATCATCATAACATCCACATCCATATTGCTAATGAACAGGACTGTGTCAAGTGGGATTTTATGTAAGGTTCCCACCAATGGAGTGCCCCGGCTCCCCACGCTGCCTGGTCCTCCATCCAGGAAGAAAATGTCAGCTGTCAGCCACTCCCTGGGTCACCCTAGCACTGGAATGGCATGTGAACGGCAGTGCCTAGGAGATGGCTGCTCTGCCCTTCTCATCTCGTGGCTCCCGTGACTGGCTGATACTGCTCAAATCTCACCCAGAAGGTCAACATCTGTTTTACTGAAGGCTGAAGAAGATTAACTGGGGAAGAGTTGGATGAATTCAGTGAGGAAACAGAATGAGAATCCTCTTCTAGAGAGAAGTCTCCATGGGCAAGCCCTGAGAACAGGCTTGGGAGCTGCTGAGCAGAGGACGTGGAATACCTTTTATGACCAAGCAGAGGAGTGCCAGGAGGACGAGGGCTCTGTCGGGTGTGTGTGTGTGTGTGTGTGTGTGTGTGTGTGTGTGTGTGTGTGTGTGTGTGTGGTGAGATCACATCTCATGAAGAAGTACTGACACTGAGCCCCTGGCAGGGCCAACTCATGGGCAGGTGGCCTGTGCAGTTACCCAGGACCCAGAGCTCCAGAGAGGCTCCTGCTGCTGCTGTCTTGAAATACTTGATCATTTTTGAACAAGGGGCTGTGCAAATTACGTAGCCAGTCCAGGCTACAGGTTCCTAAGTCCTCAAGAGGGGAGAAGGAGATTTTTAAAAGCAGTCTTTCCACAAATACCAGAAGTAGACCCAGGCGGAAACAGTTTTGGATTCAGGTGGGAACTCCAGATGCCTGACAGCAGATTCTTAGCGAGTCCATGATGACTGGGACAGGCAGTGCTGTCACCAGGGAAACAGTCACCAAGACCTGAGAGAGAGAAGACATTCTCTGCCTCCCTTGCTTCCTCCCATCCCTATTTTCCGACTTTCCTACCTATTTCAAGGTGATCTGTGTTATGCCCAGAAGGCAGGTGATGTACAACTGGGAGGGCTGCCACCTTCAGGGAAGACAGAGGAAATTTAAAACAAGTTCAACCAAGGTGTGGCATTGGACAAAACCCAACCAGATGATATTGCACCTGATAAAAACCAAATTCCATGTTCAGGATTAAACAAAAACAAACAACAACAACAAAGAGGGGAGATGTGGCATTTGAGCTGAGCATGACCTTACTATAAACCTGCAATGTAAAGGGTCCTGATCTGGAGGCTGCTATCATAAAATCAGGGGTGAGGAGACACGCGTGTAAGGAGCCCTGTAGCCTTCACCTTGTACTCTTTCCCTTGGCTCAAGGGCTTATGGGTTTATGTTCATTACAGGACAATTTCAGTAAAATGCTGTATTTGCCTCCAGCCATCCAGGCTCACACCCTGGACTCATCTTTACTTACTCATACAACCCAACAGTCCCCACTTGTCAGGTCCCAGCAATTCCTCTATATACATTCACTGGCTTTTATTCCCTCCTCTATATTTCTATGGTGACCCAGTTCAGGCCCCCTTGTTTCCAGTCAATTTTATTATAAGCTTCAGCAGTGCCAGCTGTATGTGTATCTGCCAGAGGGCTCTTCCTCATGTTCCGCTCAGTTCTGACTGTCAAATTCTTCTCCTCAAAAATCAGACGTTCCCATTGTTAAACATCATATTTTGACTTTCAAAGCATCCATAATTGACTTCCAGCCTATCATGTCAATGCTGTTCTCTCTTTCTCCATCCCCTTCTCCCCCTCTTTTTCAGGATATCCTTTATTCTAGTCATAATGAACTGCTCAATATTTCCCAGTTTTCTAGCTTTATGCCTTCGCTCATCTCTTTTCTCATCTGGAAAGCCAGATTGTGTCCACCTTCCAAGCTCCCACCTGTCTCCTTCACCCCAGCCCCAGCTGACAATCTCTGAGCCTGACTCGGCTTTCTATAACCCATAACATCTTGCATAGAGTGTGGCACCTGCAGGCACTCAGTTAACAGTATTGAAGAAACAGACATATTTTTGTTTTACTTCTCTACATCTCTACCTCTAAATGTCGGTGTTTCCTAGAGTGTGTGATCTCCACCACACGCCTCTTCTTCACTTACGTACTTCCCTGGGAGATCTCATCAGTTCCTGAGGTTTGGGAACCATTCACGTGCCAACAGCTGTCCAGAGCACAAGGGTCTGGTTGGCCCTCTCTTTCCTGAGGTTGTTTGGGAACCATTCACGTGCCAACAGCTGTCCAGAGCACAAGGGTCTGGTTGGCCCTCTCTCTTGAACCCCCAGACATACAGAAAATGGCTCCCATAATCTCCACCTGGAAGGCACTTCAGGTTTGACATTTCCAGAACTGAACTTATTTCTCCTCCAAGCCTGCTTCACCCAAATACCATCTCCCCTCTGTACTCTCTGCCATCAAGTCATCCCAGCATGTGCGTTTTGACACTCCTCATCAAATAGCACATCCTGTCAGAGCTCTCTCATATCTCTCTCGTCCTTCCCATCCCCAGGTTTGGACTTTCATCTTCTCCTTCTTGAACTATTGCCAGAACTTCCTACCTGGTCTTCCTGTACCCAGTGTGGTCTCTGCAGTGACTGTTTTATCCAATGGGCTCTAAGGGCTGCACAGAAGCAGATTAACTGGGAAGCTAATGATGCCTCTTCCAAGGAGCCTAATTTTGTATTTGTAATTTTGCATTATTTTTCTTAACAGAGCCCCCAAACTGCATAAGCTTCAGAGTCCCCAAAGTCTAGATCTTCCCCTAGTGACCAAAGGTTATGAACTTTTTCAGCGCCTAAAAAAAGGTGAAAACAAACAAAAAAATTGGCTATCAAATAAGAAATTGTAAAATTGATGCTGTCAATAATAAATAGGTAATTGTCCACCAAACATAGCACTATATAGACTTCATTAATTGTAAAAATTTTTAATTTATAAAATTTTAATGATATTTGAAAATGTTTTTGTGAGTTCAGATTTCCTCACTTTGCACAATTTTCCATGTGTCCAATGATTGTCAAGAAATCAATTACAAATTAGAAAAGTCAATTATGTATTAAATGTTGCTCATAGACAAATAATTTAAAAATCAAAAATGTAAAACTTTCTTTCAAAAGTTTTTACAGAAATAATGTATTTAATGTGGAATCTGGTCACCTAGTTATTTTCATGATGTTCCTCCTGTTGATCATTAACGCAGCTGTTTCAATGTTGAGCACTTTACAGGAGTGATTGTTGATTACCTGTCTCTTTCCTGTAGTACATCTACAGTTGAGTCTTCTTATTCACAGTAGCTATGTTCCATAAAGTTGCCATGAGCACTGAATTAGTGAATTAGCACTGAATTATTTCTTACAAATAATTATGTGTCATATTTCTTTACAATAAAACATTAGCTGAGAAGGGTTTTACATTTTCCTGACCTTGGGTAAGGTGACTATAAATTTCTTTGGCTTTTACCATCACAACCACTATGTCCACTATGTCCACTATGTCCACTATGCTTTTTTTTGTTTTTTAAATCAGTCATCATCTCGTGAATTCATCACTTCATCACACCCTATAGATGTTATTTAAGTACTTTCAGGAATAGACTCTCATGCAGATTAGCAAATTTCCTCTCCTTTTCCTGAATTCCACTATGCTTTTTTTTGTTTTTTAAATCAGTCATCATCTCGTGAATTCATCACTTCATCACACCCTATAGATGTTACTTAAGTACTTTCAGGAATAGACTCTCATGCAGATTAGCAAATTTCCTCTCCTTTTCCTGAATGCACCAAATTATTGATTCATTAATATTGATCTCATGACAAACAGCTGTAACTCACACCTGAGGGAAGCCTAACACTTATTTTCTCTGTAAACACAGCCTTCTTGCACTTAGGAACACTGGACAGCATTTCAGCACTACATTTGGGGGCCATTTAAGATAGTGAAATCATCAAAGAAAAGCACAAAAGTGTGAAAAACTTGACACTAAATAAACTGTGAAAAGGACACTTGAAAAGAGCTGAAACAAGAGGGCAGGGTGTGGCCCTGCTGGACCTTAGCTGTGAGCATGTGCCTCTGGTGACTCAAATTTTGTCCCTTTGCACATGTCTGAAAAGGACTGTGAAAGTGCTTTGAGTTTGAGGTTAAAAATAAATTTAAATGTTACTGAGTAGGCAAATTTGCAAATATAGAGTCCGCAAATCATGAGGATTGACTGTAACCTACTTGAGAACAGGCATTGTCTCCTAGCTCCCGTTCCCTAGTGCTTGGCATCCAGGAGGTAAAAGGTAATTGCAGAATAAACAAACAAGAGAAAGCAAGCTCAGATATCCTTTCTTGGGTCACCCCGGTGGAGCTGAACACTCTACCTCTGAGCTCCACACTGATCACCCTCTGCCTCTATTACATCACACATGTAGATGAATCCATCTTCAGGGGCATACAGATGACCTATTCATACAACTAATGAATAGCTGCTTTTAGTTTTATTTAATGTTATTTCTTTAAAAAAATATTGCCTCCCTTAGATTGTGAGGTCCTAAAGAACAGAATCTCTAATGACGTTTATTTATTTATTTTAGTGGATTGAAAGGTTGGATCACAAGACCTCTGAAACCCTTTCCAATTGCAAAAATTATGATTGGGGGAAAGGCTGGAGCTCATCCATCAAGGGACTTAAAGGCAAATGTAATAAACCACTTAGATGAATTTTACATCATATCCCCTGC